ACACACGCACACTAACACAAACACACACACACACACACACACACACACACACACACACACACACAATAGGGTTGGGTGTGCTTTGTATACTGTACCTTGATATCTTTTCACCTCCTTTAAGAAAAACAAATGTAAAACATTTGTCCCATGAGCCCAGAAGGGAAACTTGTCTTGACTGAATTTAAGTTTTGATTTTCCAAAAACAAACTTCCAGCCTTGTTGAAGTGGTTTGTCCAGAGTCTAGACAATATCTACACTGTATGTTTTGGGCTGTTTCTGTCCCCCTCAACATGTTTGTGCAAAACATTAGATTGCAAATGTGTACCAATTTACCTGGCAGCTCAGATGGGATCATGTAAAATAGGTTTCATTTGGTTCGAGTAAGGAAGCCCTGAGACGCAAATGACAAAAAAAATCTGGTGATCCATTTTCTAATTCTGATCTAATATGTTCTCTCTTCTTCGTTCTGACTGAAGAACAGGTGAAAATAAGATTTAGCTCAGATAATCTTTATAAATTCCTTTTTGTCAGGTGGCAAAAACAAGAAAATAATCTTTAACAAACTTTTGAAAACCTTTAAAAAACTATTTTTCACACGTAGTTGACAGAATAAGAAAGATTATTCTGGAAAGACCTTTTTTCACCCGTTCTTTATTCACAAACAGGAGAGAAAACAAGTTAGATCAGACTTTGAAGATGAATCATTTTTAATCATTTTCTCACTCGCCTCTCAGGGATTCCGCAGTTTATTATTTTTGTGAACAGAATAACTTCTGGTGCATTATTATGTATTACTGATGTACCTCATGTTATGGTAAACTATACAACAGCTGTTCAGAAGCTACTGATGGCTGGATTGTCCAGTCACTGTAATCTCCTGTCTGCACTACAGATGGCAGCACCGCACTGAGAGTGAAACTGTGTGTTAAACAAAGCGGGCATCTACAACAAATACATACCATAATATAGCACTTAGCCCTCACGCCAAACAGTTAAGTAGCGTTCAAGTTTTTGTTTGCACCTGCCTTTATTAAAAAGGCCACAACTTCATATCTTTCACTGTTTATTGTTTAATTCAATTTAGCCTTTTTCAATTTGTTTTCATTACTTTTAAAATCCTATTTGTATATGTTTTTATATTCTGCCTTTCTATGTCTTATGTAGCTGTTGAAAGGTGCTTCACTAAAGGACGTTTGCAGTACTTGACATGAGGTTTACTACTGTATATTAATGATTCCTTCTACTCCACCTTTCTGAGGGAAATATTGTCCTCCGTTACATTTATCCGACTGACATTGTGACTTACTTTGCAGATTTTCATATTTTGCACACACAGCAAAAGTCACTTTTTGTGTTCGTAGTTCAACATCACAAATGTCTTCCAAACGATTGCAGCTTTAATTCCATTCGTGCGAGTCATTGCGCGTCAGTCATCTCGATGACGCCAGTGTTTGTGCCATTTAGAACATCTGTAAACACCTCTGCTTTTAGAAGGGGCTAGATGACACCAGTTGGTTTGAAACAGGGCTGGGCTGTATGGCCTAACATCTATACCACAGTATCATTTTAAAGCACAGACGGTAGCGGTGTATATCAAGGTAGAGCACCGGTATGACAACTGTCAACCTTCCCAAAGTCAATGTAGACCGTCACAAATTCAAAATATCATCTTTTACTTTGTTATTGTCATCTGTAGTTATCTGTAGAAGACACACAATCTAAATGAATAAAAAATAAAGATTTGATTTGTATTTGAAACTTCCTTAGATTAAAAAGACTAATCTTGGCATTAGTACTTTCAATGATGTATTCTAAACCGCTTAGAGCGGGTGTTAGGAAGTTAAACAGATCAGAATTCTCTCTCTAAAATCAATTTCATGTTGCTGTGAAAACGACTTGATTCATTAAAGTCACACCAAAAAACGACAACATACAAGATTATATTGGAACACATCACGATAATAAGTTACCTTCGCCCAATACACATTATTACTGAGTATAGCTCGAACGCACCATGCAAGTCAACGCAACCTCCGTCACCGTTAGCTGTTTGGCCCCATGCACGGGAATGAATTACAACAAGTGTCTGTTCCAAACGTTTTAAGGTTGTTCCTCCGGAGGTTATTTCGGACTTGCAGTTGTGACAAATTGTGAACTTTCTGTCTTCGACCCCACGTGGTGTGGGTGAGGCTGTGACGTTACCGTCTGTGATCCGATCGTACTTCACCCATATTTTTGCATTAGTTAGGTATAATAGCCAGAATGACAGTTACAGGTTGAAGTTACAGGTCACATTTACACACTTTCATAAAATGTTTTGACCGTCAAAATTCATACCGGTGTACTTTCTATACCTTTTATAACTTCCGCCCCTAATTAAAACCTATGCCAAGTGAGGTTTATTACCTCAATATTTTACTACAATACTCGGGTGATTATACTTACTGTGTACTACTGCCCAGAGGTCAGTATAAAAATATTAATGAACTGTTTTCAGTAGCACGGAAGTCACTCCCTGAATAAATCAAAGCTTGAATGTGTGTGTGTGTGTGTGTGTGTGTGTGTGTGTGTGTGTGTGTGTGT